TGCATAACTAGCATATAATACTAATGCATCCAGATAGAGAGAGGATCACGCACTGTTATTTTAAATCGTGAGGATTACATCAAAAAATTGTGCCATACTTTGCGACAAAGAAAATTTTTTTTCAAATCAACCGACAAGAAAGTCAGAATGGAAGGTATTGACAATGAATTGTCAAGAACTTTGAAGAAGTTGAAGGACGAATCTATTATTACTTCGTATATGCATGAACAACTCAATCCTTCTGGTTCAACCATCCGTAGTTTATATGGTCTTCCTAAGGTGCATAAAGATGGTGTCTCTCTGTAACTTATGTTGGACATTCTACAGCAAAATGGCTCGCTGAGATCCTTGAACCAGTAAGATCCATCTATGTAAAAATATCCTTTCGAACACTTTTGACTTCGTCAGTTGAACTGATGAAATTAATATGACTGGTAGGCATACGATTCCATCAAATGTTTGCTCGTTATTTATAAATGTACCATTAGTAGAAACTATTTGTTATGTGATTACGTTGACCCAGAATGCATAAACAATGGAGGGCCGACTAACTGTCTGAAGCAGATTTTATTGAGATGTACGCTTAATGTGCAGTTTAGATCTAACGATGTCATCTATAACCAAAGGGATGGGGTCGCCATTAGGACCTCTCCTAGCGGATGTTTTCATGACAAGATTGGAGAGGAGAACGTTGAAAGAAACAATCTGGAGTCTGCATATGTTTAAGCAATAATATCGATGACACTTTCATCATTATTTTTGACGAAAGCTTCTTGGAAAACTTACTGGTTCTCACTCATCTATGCTTTTCACTATGGAAAAACAGTCGAACTCAGCATTTCGCTGCTTAGATGTGATACCCTCTACAGAAGAAAGGACGGCACGTTAAAAAGGTCGATCTACTGGAAGCCAACATTTACAGGTCAGTACACTGACTTCAACAGGAAGAAAAATCTTATCCGTTCTCTATGCTCAAGAATTCGGAAAATTTGCTCTGTAGATACGATCGACTTAGAATTAGAAGGCGTTCGTACAACTCTTAAATAATGTAAATCCCCTATAGGGTTTATCGAGAGAAACATGAAGAAAGAAACCGTCCTTAACCAAATCGCAGTGTCCAAGACGACAGAATTTACGAGTTTGGCTTTCGTAGGTGACAGTATTTCTGAACTAATTAAAAGTCATTTATCTAAATGTGTTAAACTTACTTTTTATACAGATGCCTTACACTTAGTATTTACCAGACGAAATGTGATTCGAGAATGCGTCAAGGATAAACTACCGCTTATTTGCATCTACCTTTATGTGCATATACTCATTCACACACTCGTGTGGAGCTGATTACATTGGACGTTGTAAGTGTAATGGTTAATGAGAAATGAGCAAAGGATGTGACAAAGTCTTCAATCTGTGAACACCTTCTGGAGGCAGGTCATTCATCCCCTTCCTCACAGGTGATTTATCGGTTAAAATTATCTACCTTTGTGTGCTAATTGGAACGTGGCAACTCGAACTGCTGCACTTCGGTGCCGAGTTCTATGTTGAATCCAGACTTTAAAGTTATCTGCAGGACCAAATCCAATCACTACAAATGCTTACATTTCCTCTATTTATGCACAGCCAAAGCTCTAGCTATACATGCAAAAAAGCCTAAACTATGTATTCGAAAATGTTTTGTTAAACTCCTTTCTTTACCTTGGTCATAGTTATATTCTATTTTACCATTTGAATTCATTCCACTTCCCTTCACCTTCGACATCTTTATTGTTATCATCATCGTACGTACTCTTCATTTTTCAGAAAACACCCGACCTATAATTTTAAAATCTTTATACTAGTTCACTTATTTGATAATCCCCTTAGTTAAAAAAAAACAAACAAAGAATTCAGCGAGGAAAATTCTCTTTTCGACGATTTCATTTTCATATCTGTACAGTCGTATATATATATATATATATATATATATATATATATATATATATATATATATATATATATATATATATATATATATATATATGAAATCGTTGAAAAGAGAGTTCTTTCCACTGAATTCGTTATTTAAATAACCTTTAAAAGCTTTGTAATTCATCCACTTCAGCTCTACTCCCTTAGTATATCATTTTAATTACCTTTATTCTTATCATGTGTATATTTTTTATTTCCCTCACGTTCCCAGTGGAACATAGGGCACCTTCAAGGTAGTGGCTTGATGTTTCTGTAGCAGTGTTTATTATTTTACAGGATGGGGTTGATAGCCTCATGCCCAACCTTTCCTCTTTACCAGCATTATTTCTGGCTTAGGGAGGTGAAGGTGTGCGTCGGTCGGAAATCGAACCCAGGACCATATGCATGGCTGGCGAGCGTCCTAACCGCTATGCCACCAACACACATCATGTATATATTGATTCATAATATCCCATAAAATTCTACTTCCATATTACTATTGTTTTTGCCTAACTCACACTTCTGTTTATTATCTCTAATTTGAATCTCGCCTTACTCTCTTCTCTTGCTTTTTGTTCTACACGGAAGGAGTGTGGCAACTCGAACTGCTGCTGCTGCTGCTGCACATCTGTGCAAAGTAGTTCTACGTTGAAACCAGTCAGTCAGGCAGACGGGGAACTGCACCACCTCAACTTGTCACACTCCATATACCACATAAGGGAATACAAAAAGAGGATGAAAGAGAGATTCTAGGGTTTAATGAATGTAGAGGATTATAAAAAAGTGAGTACATCTGAACGACATTGACAACAACTTCGAGCTATTATCACCAACAGTCTTAAATCATTGGTTCTTAGAATTACAAGGATCTCAACCAGTCAGACAGTGGTTGCACCTTCCTCTCTACATAGCTGGTTCACACTAATTATCAAAGATTTTTTATGAACTGATTAGGCAATGTTTTAATTTCACCACCATGAGCTAGCTCATTTCCAACCTGATCACATATTTCACATAAGATTGCTTGTTGAGCAAGACGTGATGGCTAGGCGTAAATGTTTAACACCATGTGTCCTAACCATCCGTCTAAATCTATTCACCAGTTCACCACCTTATCGACTGAATCTCCATCCATATCTAACACTCGACCGATACATAACATCAATATTACTCACCAAGCTATTATACCACTTAACAAAAAGGGAGGTGCATAGAATGTAATCACGTATGCTTAAAGACAGCTATCAAGGCTTTTCATGTCTGACAGTCAGGCGTGAAGGAGAGAACTGCTATCGGTGTACACTATTTGATAACTTGCATGAAATGTTTATCTGTCTGTTTTTGACTTAGAACTTTGCACTCGATGTGCACCAGTTCAAGTCGCCACACTCCCTCCATGTACCACACAAAGCAAGAGAAGAAAGTACAAGAAAAGCATAATAGAGACAGTAAACAGAGGTGTGAGACAAAGGAAGAGTAATAACGAAGAACAAAACAGTTTCATTGGAAATCATAAGTCACAAGGAGTGGATGCATCCGCACCAGCCATTGAGAACGATGAGTTTGAGCCATGTCACCAAGTGTTTCCGACCATTGGTTTTTACCGTCCTGAGGACCCCGACCAACCAGGAAGTCTACACCTTCCTACGTGACTGGCTAACTTAATCTAACTGTTGTGGATTTCATTGACTGGTTAAGCCATGTTTTGGTTTGAACGCCGCTAGCTCTTTTCCAGCCTGACCCTATATCAATCAGCTAACATTGCTCTTCGAGGAAGGCGATGACTAGGAATACTAGGAATACACATGTCCTAACCATCTCAGTCGATGTAACTTCACAGCCTCGTCGATTGATTTCGCCTCCTTACCTAGGTAGCACTCGACACCTAACCTCAATGTCGCTCACGTCATCATACCACTTCACACGGGAGATAGAACAAGGCACCTATGATCAAAGACAGCTAATCTTTTCATGTCTTCCACTTTCAATGGCCAGGTCTCATAGCTAGCCATGAAGGAGGAGGGAGCGGCTGCTGAGCAGTACACCCGCCCTTTGGTTGATTGCCAGCCGGATATCACGTCTACTAAGCCAGAGACGGCGTTAACTGGCGGGCATATGCGAAACTAGCCCTCTGTATCCGTATTGAGATTTCGTCAGAGATCAACCCGTTGGCATTGGCTGATGGTACTTCCCAAATAAGTGAAGCGGTCAATGTGCTCCACCAACCACTTCACTCCCTATTTCTAAACTAGGAGTCTCTTATACTCCTTCTTAATCCCAGTATCACACATCGTGTTATGGTATCTTCAACGCACCATTTGCACAGATCTGTGTTATGCTACACTTCTACCCCTGCTTCACATTGTGTGGGTTTCTTTGTGTTCCTTTCACGTTGTCCATGTTTCTCCGCAATGCTCAACTATCTGCTTTCTCTCTCACGTCAAATTTATCTCCTTCATGTTATTTGATATTTTTATGCTGATGACAGCCTCTTCATATTATACTACTGATAAATCGTACCAGTAGTACACCACGCCACACCATGACTATTCCCTTAATTACCTATCGTCGTATGTTTGTTTAGCTTGACCACTGCGCAGTACACACACACGCGCGCGCGCAAATATTAATCAGGAACTACGGGGTAAACGATTTCTCATATAATAAATAAACGGAAAATTATACAAACGAGAGTATATTTGTACAAAAAAAAGGTTTACACAAAATAGAAGAATAGTGAGAAGGACTGAGTACTATACAATGCAAATAAAATGTAAACTCCGAAATCACAGTTTACTGGAGCTACACGCTCTGCATACGTGACACAGGGAAAGATAGAGAGAAATGGTGTGTGTGGGGGGGGGGGAGAGTCGAGAAGTTGAAAGCATCACTCACTCACACCCTCACTACTCAAAGGAATAAAGTAACCACATTAATACACTCATTCTTGTATTAGAAATGAAAGGCAGTTCAAAAATTATTGTCACATACTAAGACGAGATGTATAAAAAATATTTTAGAAAGTAACCCACGCAAACACACACAATCCTTCTTTATGCGGAGCAAGTAAGCTCTTCTGCGACTGCATTTGCAGCACTGAACACAGTATCAGACAAACCAACACCATCGTAGGAATTACCAACAAGGTATACACCTTTTCGGAGAGAGCTATTTCTACTCACAGTCTGTTTAATCTCAGCACGTAAGGCAGTTATATTGTCCAAATGATTCACAGGATACTGAGGTATACAATTGCGTAGAACACTTACATGCCGACCAACAATGACTGGATCGTTTATATTAAGATGACTTGTAAGCACACTTTTTGAAGTCTCTTCAATTTTCCTGTGTAAATCCTCTGTAGAACTGAAATCTGCTTGGCATGGTTCAAGCCAATCAGAATAAGGTTTCATCATTATTGTATATCGTAAACTCTCACCGTCATTACTATCCAATTGTGGAAAAGCAACTGAATCGTAAATTACACCTAAAATATGCTCATCTTCAGTACGTGGTACCAAGTGTCCAAATCCGCGTACTGGAGAGACAACAGAAGACTTCTCCACTTCCAGGACAGTACTGACAACATCTTCCCATGGAAGATGATCCAGCTTTAGGGACTTCAAGGCATCAGAAGTTAGCAAATCTTCTAGAATCTCTGCTGTAACAAAAGAGGGACAACAAAGGAAAACGGCATCAGCTCTGCCTATCTTCTTATTGTCATTATTATTATTATTACAAAGGACATTTCGCCATCTGTATTCATAAGAATCATTTGTCAGACTGAGGCTTTCAACAGCAGAGTTTAAATAAAGCTGAATATGCGGATAGTGCTTATTTAAATTATCAACCATAGTGTCGATTAGAGTCTGCATTCCACCAGATAAACTCCATGCTATTGAATTAGACGAAACGTGATTGTTATTGAGATTTGGTAATTTCTCATTAAGTATACTTGGAATAACAATACCACTACTACTACTACTTTTCGAAAATCGTTTAAATTGTGAACGTATAAGACCAAGGACAAGATTCGGCCCGTATTCTTCTGATTTTACCAACTGAAAAATACAAACAAACAAAACAGAACAATAAATACACAAACATCGGAATATGATGGGCATTCTTTATAACATCACAAAACAAGGAACAAAGCTGTAGATTTGATGGCTGGTGACTAGCAGTGGATAGAAGAGAGGGATTGTGATGTGAAATGAATCCTATTTGGGACTCGTCACAACGGGATAAACCTGCATCCCGCAGTGATACCTTTTCCTTTTCTACAACGTGCAGTTACTAGCCTCACGCCCAACCTTTCCTATTTACCAGCTGGTCAACCAAGTGAGATACAAGAGTGTACCCAAACTGGAAGTCGAACCGTTAGGAGCCATACCCAACTCGTCGCCTCCTTACCATTTCGATTCCACTCGAGGATCTGGCAAACGATATCATCCATGGCGTCGAGCACCAACTGACTTGACGTTGGTGTTGATGATCCGAGCTTTCTTCTTTATACTAATTGCAGATTTCCACACCGCTTTCACAGTGGTGCATGTCTGTCTCTCTTGCCTTTCTGATTCCGGTATTCACGTCTTTGTCCGTTCCATGCAGATGTAGTTGAAACGAAGATGCTTAGCTAGATAAGTCAAGGAAGTGACTTTTTTTAAAAAATTTGTTCCGTTGATGGAGATAAGAGTACGTTGTTGGTCGTGAGTTGGTCATTTTCATTACCTCCACCTTCTCTACGTTTACTTAAAGGATTTTCCGTGAGTTGATAAACGCACATAGAGTTGACCAACTGGGAGATGTTGTTCTTCAGGTTACTGAACAATATAATCATCGACTAGAAACATATCAGTCTCAATGATGCTGCACAGTGAGCTTCTTTTTCAAGGCCCGTAAGATCCTTCTTTGAAGAATGTCAGCAGCTAAGTCAATTTTTAAATTCAAGCTTCATGTACTTCATTCTCTTGGTTACTGAAGCTATATAACACTTCATCTGTGATGCATCAGACTGTGCACAGGGAGTGAGTGAGTAAATGAGACGACAGGAATACGCTACACTCATTGATAAGAAGACTGACTCCAGAAGATCTGGATTTCACGCATGGATTTATGTCTAGTGTCACACAAACTCGAAGACTTGCATGCGAAAACCAACAAACTGGCTGAAGGACTCCAGGTGAACATAGAGGAGGTGGAGACCACACCAACCACCATCAATGGGATAAAGAGATTTGACAGAGGTCACTTCCTGTCCTTACCTATCTAGGAAGCACGGTTTCAACCACAGGCAGTCGGAAAGGATGCAGATGTCAGAGCCGGAGAGAATCAAGAAGGCAACATACACACCTTCACCAGCCTGAAACCAGTTTGGAAATCTTCTGTACTCCTCTTTAGCATAAAGAACAAGATTCAGGTTTTTCAAAACAAATGTAAAGTCACTCATTTCTTCAATATGGGTCAGAAACTTGGAAAGCGCTTCACAGAAAGCATTTCCAACAAGTTCCAAACCTTTATGAACAGCTGCCCCCTTCGCCGGCCAGCGGGCTGGCCGGAAACAATTAGCAACAAGAAACTATGGCAATGGACAAATCAACCAAGAGCCGACTGCTGAACAGAATGCAGAAATAAGTGGAGTTGGATCGGGCATACGCTGAGGAGACCGTCGAGTGAAACAGCGCTCAATGCAGGCCATCCATCCCTCGAATGAGATCCGAAGGGGGAAGCGACGAGTGAGTAGTCGGTGCGAGGATGACATGGAGGTTGTGTGAGTTAGATGAGAGATTATGGGCAACCATTGGGTCAGCCAGCCTGTCTGTCTGTTTTCGACATAGAACTTTGCACAAATGTGCGGAAGTTCAAGTCGCCACATTCCATGCTTGTTGTCCTATTTGGCAAAGTGTCCTAACACTAAATGCTCCTATATGAAATTGGTGGCGTGGCTTTAGAAGACTATCTGCGATGGTTTTTTGGCTTCCATCGTTTTTAGTGGACACAGAGTGGAGAGGAAGTGAGGAGCTATCAAGTAGAGGAGTTGCATCAGTGGAAGGAAGGCAAGATGATAGAGATGAAGATGAAGACAAAGATGAGTGAGTAATAGAGAGGTTTCGTGTGCATTTCGGATTGTGAGGGCGATTGTTACTTCCCGGCTGCCCACACCGTGGAAGTTGGTTGCGTGACCGCAGAGCCCAGGGGACAACTGCTTGAGGCCGGTCACACGCGGCCTGTTTTTGTTTGTTCTTTGTTGTTTTGTGTGCCTCAGTAGCAGATTTATCACTCCTGCCCTGTGACACGGCAGCAGGAAGCGCGGTCGTTGTTAATCCGGGCCACGGCCGATCCGGCATGAAATTTTGTGATTTTGTATTTATCATGATGTTGGATTGGGTAGCTGCTTTTTGTTTAACCGCTATCCAAACAACCTGCCTGGCATGGCAGTACCTCAAGAGACATAAGTCTCAGCCAGTATAGCTTGAATAGATCATTGCGGTGTTCAAGCCCGACCACCACGTCAAGGTAGCAGCTTTCGGTCGGGGGTCAGCCAGCTGAAGATGACAGCTGAGAATAGAACGAAGTGGAGATGTGCTGTTGAAGCCCTACGTTCCCCCATATTCCATTTGAATTTGTTTTTCTCATAAGAGTTAACTCTTCTTCAACAGCATCAGGATTACACATATACGCCGAATACGAATGGCAAGTGAATGAATGAGGCGTCGTTCTCAACCAATGGGTACCCAGTTGTAAAAATTTGTCAGTCGATCACTGTATATCACAATTCATATATGATATATACATATGATGTACAGTCAGAGAACAAATTCCTTGAAAAGAGACTGTCCACTGAATCACTGGTTTTGATTTTCTATGTTCTAATAGTGTTCGACAGCGTTGACCGCGAAGTAATTTGGAAACTACTCGAGTACTACGGCGTACAGTGCCCCAAATATTCATCAACCTCATTCAACAGCTGTACGACAACGGCGGCACATGTCAAGTGATCCACAACGGAAAACTCACTCAGCGAGACGTTTGGAGTAAACACAGGAGTCAGACAAGGGTGCTTATTATCACCCACGATGATATTCCTAATTGTGGTGGGCTGACTGGATTATGCGTCAGACAGTGGGAAACCAGAAGACAGGGATATCCTCGACCGACATGAAGAACCTAGAAGACCTGGATTTCGTTTGTGGATGATTTATGTTTGATGTCACACAAAATCGAAGACTTACAAGCGAAAACCGACAAACTAGTCGAAGAAGCAGTCGGCGAAGACAGGACTCTATGTGAACATAGACAAGACGGAGGTTATGAAAATAACCAACAAACCAACCAACAACAACAACAGCAGAAACATCCGGCGCCAATCACCATCAACGGGAGGGATTTGAAAGAGGTTACTTCATTCACTTATCTAGGGAGCATTGTCTCAACTACAGGAAGTCGGTACGCACGAGGATGTCAAATCGAGAATCGGGAAGGCGAGAAACACATTCACTCATCAACCTAAAACCAATCTGGAAATCTTCGTCACTCAGCCAGCGTCAACAACAAAATTCCGTCGGTCGGATTTTCAATACAAACACGTCAAGTCAGTCAGTTCTTCTATACGGATGAGAAACTTGGTGTGTGTGGGGGGGGGTTCACAAGGAATATTTCCAACAGCCTGTTTCAGACCTTACCTTCGTCAACAACTAACTGTCTTCGCTGGATCTATACTGAAGATCAGATGGCCGGGGGGCCGGAAAGAATCACCAACAAGAAACTATGGGAAGGAACAAAAAAATAAGAACCAATCGCCCAACAAATATGCAGGAGAAAGTGGAGATGAATTGGACACTCGCTCGCTGAGGAGGCCGCTGGGTGACATCGCGCGGGCGTCAGGCCATTGCTCGAGTCGAACCCGAAAGGGAAGCGGCGAGTGGGACATCCAAGGATGACATGGAAGAGATCGTGTGAAGAGTTGAAACAGTATGGACTAACATGGATGCAGGTGAAAAGTACAGAAGAAGGAAGACAGAAGCAAGTGGAGACGTGCAGTTGAAGCCCTATGTTCCACTAGGAACCCAAGGGAACAATAATAATAATAGTGTTCAAAGCTCTTAATAACCACGATTGGTATGTCCAACTACATTGACTTTGTGTAAAGTATGTACCGAGAAGGTCCAAAATGAAGATAACAGAGTAAGCATACAACATGAATAATCAGTTGACATTGTCACAGATCATTTAAACTTTCCTGTGTAACGCGTCAGAGTTGAACTGAAGTCTAGTTCTAACGGAGAAAATGGACACAAGTGTGAATTAGACGGGTGGCATACCCAGGGTATAATACACGGTTATATACTGTACGCATAGATAATTCGAAGTGCTCACCCCTAAGCTTGTCCTACGGTTGTACAAAAAATACCAAAGACCACACCTGGAAGTGCACAGTACCTTTACTCTCCTGTTACTCAGAAGGGACGTTAATCATCTGGAAAGAGTTTAAAGAAGGGAGACAAAAAAAAGGCGATGGGTCTCCTAAATAAACTATATGATGAAAGGCTAAAGAAATTAGGTCTTCTCGATCTTCGCTACCGTCGACTTAAGGGTGACTAAGTGGATACTGAATAAGCACTCAATAACACAAGGACTACGTCCTATTCAAGCTTTACTGGCTAAGACTTATGTCTCTTGAGGTCCTACCATGCCAGAAAGGTTGTTTGGATAGCGGTTAAACAAAAAGCAGCTACCCAATCCAACATCATGTCCAATACAAAATCACAAAATTTCATGCCGGATCGGCCGTGGCCCGGATTAACAACGACCGCGCTTCCTGCTGCCGTGTCACAGGGCAGGAGTGATAAATATGCTACTGAGGCACACAAAACAAAAAGAACAAACAAAAACAGGCCGCGTGTGACCGGCCTCAAGCAGTTGTCCCCTGGGCTCTGCGGTCACGCAACCAACTTCCACGGTGTGGGCAGCCGGGAAGTAACAATCGCCCTCACAATCCGAAATGCACACGAAACCTCTCTATTACTCACTCATCTTTGTCTTCATCTTCATCTCTATCATCTTGCCTTCCTTCCACTGATGCAACTCCTCGACTTGATAGCTCTCCACTTCCTCTCCACTCTGCGTCCACTAAAAACGATGGAAGCCAAAAAACCACCACCGACAGCCTCTTAAAGCCGCGCCACCAATTTCATATAGGAGCTCTTAATGTTAGGACACTTTGCCAAATAGGACAACAAGCATCACTAGCCAAGACCCTGGCATCACGAGCCATTGATGTATGCTGTGTTTCAGAAACACGCATACAAGACCCAAGTGTGGTTATTCACCTAACCCCACCTGGCCAACAGGTTGAATCTGCAAAATTCACCCTGAGGGTGTCAGGAGATGCCACAGCTAGTTCACGAGGATTAGCTGGCGTAGGGATAGCTTTGAGTACTAGGGCAGAAAAGACATTGCTTGACTGGATCCCGGTAGATAGCCGAATGTGTGCTGTCCGCCTGAACGGATCAGTAAGAAGGAGGAAGGACTGCACTACTCGCCGATGCCTTTTCGTAATCTCCGCCTACGCCCCCACTGACTGCAGTTCAGATGAAACGAAGGATGAGTTCTACCAAAAGCTGTCTAGTTTGGTGAGAAAGGCTAAACGCTCAGACATAGTCGTTCTAGCTGGTGACTTTAACGCTCAAGTAGGGAAATTGTGTCAATCTGAGAAGGATGTCGGTGGCACCTATGGAGTTCCGTGCCAGCGAACCGACAACGGTGACCGTCTCCTACAGTTCTGTTCTGATAATCATTTGTTTCTTGTAAGCACTAACTTCAAACACAAGGAGAGACACTGTTTGACTTGGAGACCCCCTTCATCAAACCAACGCTGGACACAAATAGACCACATAGCAATAAGCTATCGTTGGCGTGGGTCGGTAGGAGATTGTCGCTCCTTCTGGAACACGTGCGTAGATACCGACCATGCACTGGTCCGCGCTCGGGTGTGCTTACGACTGAACGGACGTAGGAAACAGCTGGCGGTAAAACCATCACGTCCCCAGCTCGATCAGGAAACTAAATCCGTATTTGAGGAAGAACTAGCTAAACACATATCTGTGTTCGACAGCTGTGCTCACCCTGAAGAAGCTTGGAAAAATATCCAGGCAGCCATAGATACAGCTGTAAAAGCTGTGAATAAGGTAAACCCAAAGGTGAGTAAAAACCACTGGATCTCCACCGCCTCATCCGAACTGATAGATGCTAGAAGACTTATTCCGGCGAGCTCCGAATTCAATGAGGAGCGAAAGCTGCACAAGAGGAAACTTACGAAAAGTCTCCGCAAGGACCGTGAACAGTGGTGGGCGACAAAAGCCAAAGAGATGGAGAAAGCTTCGAGGATAGGCAACACCAGGCAACTCTTTGGACTCATCAGGGAAACGGGTGGGAGAAGACAAATCATTAGTGAGACAATCTCGGAAAAAAATGGCACTATAATTAGCTCCCAGGATAGACGACTGGATCGTTGGAAAGAGCATTATGAGGAGCAGTTTAATTTGCCCACAGCCACGCTCAACCTTCCGAGCATCCAACACCTCCCTGAATGGGATATAGACACAGGTCCTCCGTCACTAACTGAGGTTACTAAAGCTGTCACCAATCTGAAACTAGGCAAAGCAGCGGGACCTGATGGAATGACTCCAGAGGTATTTAAGTACGGTGGAGACAGCTTACTGTCCGGATTAACTGAGGTACTAGGCAGCGTCTGGGAATCAGAAGAAGTCCCATCGGGTTGGTGTAAGTCACTGATTATCCCCATATACAAGAAGGGAGACAAGTCTTCCTGTGATAATCACAGAGGGATTAGCTTGACTAATATAGTATCTAAAGTCTTAGGCTCAATAATCATGCGTAGACTGAGTGGTGCTCGGGAAGCACAAACACGAGAGAGCCAGGCAGGCTTTAGACCAGGAAGAGGGTGTATTGATCATATCTTCACCCTCCGACAGATTCTAGAACATAGGCATTCCTACCGGCGTCCAACAGTCATTATATTTCTTGACCTAAAGGCAGCATTCGACTCTGTCGATCGGGAAGTTCTCTGGAGATGCTTGGCTGTAAAGGGAATTCCAAGAAAATATATTGCACTGATTAAGGCACTCTACTCGTACTCATACAGCCAGGTGAGGGCTTACGGCGAGCTGTCATCTGAACTGATGACGACCAGTGGTGTCCGTCAAGGATGCCCATTATCTCCTTTTCTATTCAACTTCATCATAGATGTGTTAATGGACTTAACCCTAGGTGACTTCAGCGACTCAGGGATTGACTTGCTACCGGGGAATAATCTCGTTGACTTGGAATATGCAGACGATATAGTCCTTCTAGGCGAAGACGCTGACGAAATGCAGAGTCTTCTAAACACCTTGAGCCGCAATCTACGAATGTTTGGCATGCGATTCGCTCCCGCCAAATGCAAGATGATGTTACAGGACTGGACTACATCGACGCCTAGTTTAAAAATAGGAAGTGAAGTGGTAGAGCACGTTGACCGCTTCACTTATTTGGGAAGTACCATCAGCCCCAACGGGCTGATCTCTGACGAAATCTCAGCACGAATACAAGGGGCTCGTTTCGCATTTGTTAGTTTACGCCGACTCTGGCGTAGACGAGATGTTCGACTATCGACCAAAGGGCGGGTGTACTGCTCATCAGTCCGCTCCGTCCTCCTTTATGGTTGTGAGACCTGGCCACTGAGAGTGGAAGACATGAAAAGACTAGCTGTCTTTGATCATAGGTGCCTGCGTTCTATTTCCCGTGTAAAGTGGCATAATAAGGTGAGCAACATGGAGGTTAGGCGTAGAGTTCTAGGTAAACAGGGGAAATCAATCGACGAAGTCGTGAAGCTACAAAGACTGAGATGGTTAGGACATGTGTTACGTATGCCAAGCCATCGCCTCCCTCGACGAGCAATGTTAGCGGATATAGGGTCAGGCTGGAAAAAAGCTAGCGGCGGTCAAACAAAAACTTGGCATCAGTCAATGAAATCCACAACAGTTGGTCTAAGCCACGTAGGAAGGTGTAGACTTCCAGGCTGGGGTCCTCGGGACGGTAAAAATCTATGGTTGGAAACAATTGGTGACATGGCTCAAAATCGTTCTCAGTGGCGCAGATGCATCCACTCCATGTGACTTATGATCTCAATGAAACTGTTTTGTTCTTCGTTATTACCTCCTTTGTCTCACACCTCTGCTCACTGTCTCTATTATGCTTTTCTTGTACTTTTTTCTCTTGCTTTGTGTGGTACATGGAGGGAGTGTGGAGAATTGAACTGGTGCACATCGAGTGCAAAGTTCTATGTCAAAAACAGACAGACAGACGTCCTAATGGACTATCTATCCCCTTGAACCTCCAACACTACACTCCGTTAATGAATGTCATCTAAAGTCGTCCCTCTATCAGTATCCATTCTCTCACGCCTCAATCTTCCGAACACACTTCCCATTCATTCACTTATTTTTATTTTTTGATTGTTAAATTTCATTACTTATCCGGTTCTGCGTTTCTCATTCTAAGTCTGCGTGGTCCACACTAATCATATCTATTATTATGTTTATTATTAATAGTAGTAGTACTAGTATCGTTCTTTGCGATCATACCGGACGACTAACAGGCGAAAGAATCAACTCGCTTCATAGCAGTAATAAGCTCTTAAAACAGCGCATACTGTGAACCACATATAACCAATTCTCGAGACATTCTCGTTGGAGTCAACTAAAGGTACAGCAGTCGACTGGTGGGTTCAAATACGCAGGTATTTAGCGAATATGAGAAGCCTTTCCCTTGAAACCAAGAATCCAGTGCACAGAAATCAATTTGGTTCACTCTAGCTTGTGAAGATGATTCTGGATATTGGGACTGATAGCATTGCCAATACATATCCGCTCAGTGAATACGTAGGTCAGTTATTACGGGTATATGAAGTGCGATAACCATGTAATCCAATAAGTATTTACAGAAACTAAGCCGTTCAGCCGATTGAACAACAGTTAAACGCGTAAAACGGCCTATTCTCGAGACTGCTTGTTTAAAACAACCTTCACAAAGTCTCAGGTTGTACGAGTCGAAGATGGACTCTGACCTTGACTGGTGCCTTTGTTTACTCTGGCGGCTCGTGGTTTGCTTGAGGCTTAGCTGAGGAAAATGATATTAGACTTGTTGCAGAAATCTGACGCCTGAGGAGCAGCAGCGATGGCTCGGTGCCTAAATTCATATGCTGAGAAATCCATGCATGAAGAGCATTTCGAAGAGGATGTGGATGACGAAGATTTAGACGACGATGACGTTGACGGTTACGAAGGGCTTAGCGACTATGATGATGATGACATACCTGGGTCATCTGGATTTGGAAGTCATAGTTTAGGTAACACTGGCACCGAAAGTAAAGCTTCAGATATGCGGCGTCAACGCTCAATTAGTAAAGGTGTCAATTAATTTAGCCAGTAAATAAACAATTAACCTACCACTGGTAAACAAGCACGGGCACTCAATTTCCGTGAATCACCAGCAAAGATACCACGAATCAAGGCACTTCCAACGTAGTCAGCAAATTCTGAATCTAAACGAGTACGAAGAAATTCATCAACAGTCCAATCTGACTGTGATGGTGGACGTCGAGAAAACAGTCGACTAACAAATAAACTAAAATTAGATCGAGTAAATGGTTTCACAGCTGAAAAGGTTAAAGCAGACAAGGGGATAAGTTGACCATTTATGAAGATGTATCTATTCGCTGCATCTGTACCTCGATTCATCCATAGAATTGACTGTTCAAGATTTAAACTCAATACTGTTCTTAACAAAAGATGTCCTGCAGGAGATTGAACACGAGCACTATGCGGACCTGCTTCATAAATCGACCCAGTATCAGGATGCTTAATTGACTTGATCCAACCGCCCCACCTGTTACTGCTTTCTAAGACTGTAAGACGATAACTGCCAATTGGTCGAGTTAAAGAGATAAAATAGGAGGTAATTAGACCGGATAAACCGCCACCAACAATTAAGTAGTGTGGGACACCCATTCACAGCAATCCTTGTAAAGTGATATTTCTTCAGTTAACTGATCACTGGATCGACTCAAAAGCTCGTTGCAGGAACGAAGAAGAAGATGATGATGAATGATGTTCACAGACCACGGTTTATTTGTCTGAAATATTAAAACAGAATAAAAGAAGAGAATATGAATCCACGAGTTTTCAAGTAGTGGTTAAGGTACCAGCATTAATAATATTACCGTGCTATAAATCAGGTAATCTTATCTAATATAGAATTGCATATATGTTCTTCTAGTGCCCGAACTCCAGTCTTACACCAAGTAGTGAAAGTTATCCGTAGAACTATGAGAGGAGTTACTGCAAGTTATGCAGCTTATAATTTAGTGCAAGAAACTGGGGATGGTGGAAATTTAGGAACAGGTGTTATTACTATTATTTTTGAAACACGTACAAGGTACACATTATGGGCACAAAAGAATGCGTCATTCAAACTCTCATAATTCGTGCAACGTATAGGATACTGTCCCGACACCCAGATCGAACCAGGTGGTGGTTGTCTTGAAGAGCCACATGATAGCCGGTTGGCTATCAATCAAAGGACGTGTATGCTGTGACTATCTTCGCTCTGTCCCCTTTTATGGGTGGCTGTGAAACATGTAAAGCCTTTGGTCATAGGTGCCTGTGCCCTATCTTTTGTGTCAAGTGGTATGATACAGTAAGTAACATTAAGGTTGGACGTAGAGTGTTAGGTAAGATGTGTGGGAAGAGAGAGGGAAAGTGAGGCGATGAGACTATGAAGGCGAATCGATTCAGATGCTTAACAGATGTGCTACGCATGCCTAGCTGAAGTAGAATCGATCGGGTTGGGAAAGGGATAGCTAGTGTTGGTTAGGCCGAAAATTCGTTGGAATTAATCGATGAAATCTATGACAGTTTAAGCCAGCTATGCAGAGAGGTGTACACTACTCGCCTGGTTGGAGTTGTCAAGATTCTAAGAAACAATGACCGGAGATAATTGGTAATATGACTGGAAGTCATTATCAGTGGGGGAGTGAGGGGATACATCTACTCCTTGTGATCTTGCACATCCAAAAAACTCTATCCTTTCCCCGTGTTACTAATATTTTTTCTTCCTTTCTGCATATTATTGATCTTTCGAATCTCTTTTTGTCTTCCTTTATATGATACATAAAGTGTGGCAACTTGAACTGCTGTACTTCCCCGTGTGAAGTTTTATGTTGAAATCAGTCAATCCACTGCTGTCTACACTTTGACTTAAAGTCCAATTCTACATGGCAGTGGAACAGCATTAGAAGGTGCGTTGCCATGGTTTCTTGTGATCAGGACAGGTTCATCCGCAATCTCGTCCGTTGGGATGTTGCAGCTTATGTAAGCCATAGGTTTTTGGGTCAAGATTTTCCACCTCCGCTAGTCAGACCAGCACGTGTCCTCCAGTCTGATGGCTGCAGTTGTCAAACGTTCGCATTTACACCTCCGCATTTTTATGGAACGCGTTAACGTTATGTGGATGACACCCACATTACTGGTAATGATAGTAAGTTTATTGAAAACTTTTTTTACTCTATTCAATCATATTCATCCAAATATTCAAGTGACTTCCGAATTCGAACGGAACAACAAACTCGGTTTTTTGAATATTTCAGTGACCAGGAGAGATTATGGAACGATTAAGCCATCTATATTTTGTAAGCAGACACGGAGTGGACAATATCTTTATTTCACCAGTTTTATTCTTATGTAATGTAAACGTTCCCTAGTGAAATGTTTGTTTTCAACAGTCTGCAAAATACGTACGAGCAACACATTGATGGATGAGCTTCGACACATACTTTCACTTTGATTAGTTAATGGTTATCCAGAAAACTTTATAAATTGTCACAGTAAGGATAGAGGACATCTTGAAAAGACAGCTTCTGTACCAAAGAAAACTATCTTTATTCATCTACCATTCAACGGTGAAAAATTATGCAGTTGACAGTACAAAGACTTCGGTTAGCCATCAAATGCACATTCTACAGTGCATCTCCTTCCCTCACATCTCGAACATTTTCCATCCCCGCACCTACGATTAAAGGACGAAGTTCCGTGGAATCTACTTCAAACTGTATCTACAAGTTCACCTGCAGTTGCGGTGACACCTATATAGGTAGAACTAATAAAATCTAATGTCATCGAAAATAACATGTTCCAAAATGGTTGTTAAGACACACAGAAAAACCCAATGCAATTAATCTGAATAGAAATCCAGCATCATCATCCATTGCAAAACATTTATTAATGTCAGGTCACAAAATCAATCAATATTAATGACTGTTTCACAATTATTTCATCACATAACTCTAATTTAAAGTTATTGAAGGTGATGGAAGCACTTCGGGGATTAATCACATACATCGTAGACTATGTGTACAAAAAAAACAGACATCAACTTTCTCCTACCATGGACTGACTACTTGAACTATTTAAATGTAATTGGTCATTATTATGTACGTTTGTTTTACATAACTGAGTAATTGTCATGCATTTTATTTCATTATTGTGAACCATGCTAGTTGTAAAGCAAGTGTAGAGAAACCACAGAACGATATCACTTCACGATATTTGTTTTCTAAATGTCTTATTCAATCCTATAATAATGTGTTTGTTGATTGGTAATTGACTTGAGTACTAGGCTTCAAGAAATTCCTTAGCATTTTCGGTGTTTCATCTATTTAGAATGTTTACATTATCCTAATCAAAATGGTGTCTATAGTAATCCTCACACTTTCATCAAGATGTGTTTAAACTCTAAGCGTAACACCAACAAGAAACCATCATCAGAAAGTACCAGAAAATTCAGTCTACCTTACATATGAAAAATGTCTGTCAAATAACAGCTAGAAAATATTACGACCGTTTGAAGTAGATATAACACACACACACACACACAAGCAAGCCAGTCAACCAATCAGTACATTCATTTCATTCAATAATGTGCAAACGGAAAGTCAACCAACAGAAAAAAAAAAGATAAAATTAATACCATTTGTAAAATAAGTTGTATGCATCGACTGCAATAAACATTACATCAGTCAAAGTGGAAGGTCCCCTTCGAAGGTGAATCGCAGAACACAAGTTATCAGCTGTGATTATTCGTGATATATTTAATTCTTTCACCATATCTATGCATGTGGATAATTATGGACACGAAATTGATGATTAGGATAGAGGAAAAAGCAAGAATACAGTCAGGGAATTTCTACAAGTCTGGTTATAATACTCAGATGAATTAGCCAGCAACTAACAAAAAAAACACATTACCATAGACTAAATCTACCAGCTACCAGTGAAAAGTAAATCACACTACAAGAAAGTTCAAATCCCAAGTGAATAAAAAGGATCAACAAAGATGCAAATTAACAACCAGTCACCCTAGTGGTTGCCAGGGGATACAATTATATTATTAATGGAGAATTCAAATAAGTTAATTCCACACTAAATCCTGTGCTGAAGATGTTGTCTAAATGGGGGACGACTAAAGCTTTACTACTGAATCAACTAGCTTAGAAAACACAACTACATCAAAATCATTCACCTGAGCTCCATACATATATATATATATATATCTTCATTTTAATCTCATTACAGATCAGATGTATACACTGCTGACTGAACCTAGCTGAGATTGTATGTATTGCTCAAAACCCCAAAGTGAAACTTAAAATCTGTGTTGTATTTTTTTTCTATTGTGAGTTTGCACTGAATAGAAAGATATATTTTCGGTGTGATAAGTTCATTCACCTTCATCTTCAGCAACGGATAGATGACCAATAATCACTATATCGAATTTCTTTGAAATTATTTTTTATTTATTTTATTTTATTATAGCTTGACTTCACACATTATTTTGCTTCGAGTAAGGAATTTTCAGTATGTGAATGAATGATAATAGCTTTATTCCAAAACAGTACTTGCGATACAGAATGGAATTCTCTGTATTTTACTACAGTACTGCATCCAGTTAGTAAATTAACAATAAAATAAAATTCTACATAGATTATGGGTAATCTCAGTTCATTATGACAACAACATTATTGGTATGTCGGTAGCAAAGCCAAAATTGAACAGAGTGTTTGAAGGTGCTAGAAAAGTAGGTGCTAGCACATTTACTGGCGTAAGCGGTAACAAAATGGTCGAGATATACATGGTGTGAAAGAAAGAAGAAGAACGCCTTAAATAGAGTTTGTATGGAAGAAAGAAACAAAGCAGCACACAACAGAAAACAGAGAGAGAAAAGGGAAAGAAAGAAAGAAACAACACGTTGTACCTATAAATGATATGAGTTGGAAAGACGAGATCCAGTCGTTCTACTGACTATTTAATAAGTTAAAGGTTTCATGTCCAATGCTTTCTTTATCACACAGAACACGAGCTAAGTAGGGTATGGTTGAGTTTTTGTACTTACTAGTACGAGCATATAGTTTTTTATGTAGGCTTCTGGTTTCGCCTGAGGAGATACAAGGGGAGAGTTGTGAATGAAGAGAGTGTCGTGAGTTAGATAAAATGGATTTAGCCCATTTTTCACATGAGTCCATGTGCCTGTCAACCAGAATATTAACAAGCTGGTTAAGTGGCACGTAGCTTACCCTGCTGACAACCTTTAACATCCTGCGTAATAGGGCATAGTCTTTCTTCAGTGGCCAGCCCTGGAAAAACTAAGGGAGAAGAATAGAGAATAATAGGCAGAATACGGGAGTTAACGAATTGCAGGAGTAAGGGTCGGATTATACCAGAATGTCTTAACTTCTTGATGTAGAAGGCAAGGAGGAATAATTTCTTAGAAATCATCAAGATATGAGACGACCAGGAAAGATCAGCAGACAGAATGACGTCTAGGTATTTAATTTCTGACTTGGTCTCTATTTCAGTGCCATCAATGTTGCACACCTCGTGGGTGCTAACCAGTTTGTTTAGGTCAGATTTGTGCCTAAAGGTGAAATTTACTGTTTGGCATTTGGAGGGGCTTA